AGCTTTTGTTTGTCTGGGACTATCTCCTCTTCAGTATGAATAATAAACTTGCCAGGTAGAGTATTCCTGGTCCTAAGTTTTTTCCTTTCAGCACTTTGAATACATTGTGCTACCCCCTTCTGGCTACAAAGTTGCTGCTGAAAAATCAGCTTATCATCTTATGGGAACTCCCTCATATGTAACTAATTGCTTTTCTCTTACTTTTTTTTTTTTTTTTTTCCAACGTTTATTTATTTTTGGGACAGAGAGAGACAGAGCATGAACGGGGGAGGGGCAGAGAGAGAGGGAGACACAGAATCGGAAACAGGCTCCAGGCTCTGAGCCATCAGCCCAGAGCCCGACACGGGGCTCGAACTCACGGACCGCGAGATCGTGACCTGGCTGAAGTCGGAGGCTTAACCGACTGCGCCACCCAGGCGCCCCCTCTTACTGCTTTTAAGGGAAGATTCTTTGTATTTTATTTTTGTATTTTAATTATAATGTATTTGGTGTGGATCTCTTTGGGTTCATCTTGTTTGAGACCCAGTGCCTCTTGGACCTGAATGTCTGTTTCCTTCCCCAGGTTAGAAAAGTTTTCAGCTATTATTTCTTAAAGTAAGTTCTCTGCCTGTTTCTTTCTCTTTTCCCTCTGGGACCCCAATAATTCAAATGTTAGTATGCTTGATGTTGTTGCAGAAGTCCCTTAAACTTACCCTCATTTTTAAAAATTCTCATTTCTTGGGGTGCCTGGGTGGCTCAGTCAGTTGAGCATCCGACTTCAGCTCGGGTCATGATCTCATAGTCCATGAGTTCAAGCCCCATGTCGGGCTCTGTGCTGACAGCTCAGAGCCTGGAGCCTGTTTCAGATTCTGTGTCTCCCTCTCTCTCTCTGACCCTCTCCCGTTCATTCTCTGCCTCTGTCTCAAAAATAAATAAACGTTTAAAAAAATTTAAAAATTCTCATTTCTTTTTGCTGGTCACTTTGGGAGATTTCCATTACCCTGTCTTCCAGATCACCGATCCATTTTCTCTATCATCTAACTGGCTCCTTATTCCCTGTAGTGTTTTTTCATTTCTGTTATTGTATCTTTCAGCTGTGATTCATGCTGTCTAAAATGATGCTTTGAAAATGTAACTAATAAAATATTTTTGTGTGCATAGAGTGTATCTGAAAGGAAACACACCAAACTGTTAACAACACCTACTTCTAGGGGGAAGACTTTTTATTTTCATTTTACTTTTTTTAAGATTTTTATTTTTAAGTAATCGTTACACTCAATGTGGGGCTTACAACCCTGAGATCAAGAGTTGCCAGCCAGGTACCCTGGGAGAGAGGTTTTTAAAAAGCAGAAAGTTCCATACAATTCTGCACTAATTCAATTATTATGAATAAGTTTTTAAATGAGCATGTATTGCTTTTTTTTTTAATGTTTATTTATTTTTGAGAGAGAGACAGAGCACAAGCAGGGGAGGGACAGAGAGGAGACACAGAATCCAAAGCAGCTCCAGGCTCTGAGGTGTCAGCACAGAGCTTGAACTCAAGAACCACAAGATCATGACCTGAGCCAAAGTCAGGTGCTCAACTGAGCCACCCAGGCGCCCCGAGCATGTATTACTTTTGTAATTAAAATGCTAAAAAAAAAATTTGAACTCTGTTATACCACACCATGGGTAGACTGTGTTGAAAAACCATAATGAGGAAGTAGCTACTACAGATCACTACACACATAGTTAGAATGAATTAATGGCCAAGAGTTATGTTATATTTAGCAAGTTTGGGTTATGGTTATCCAGTGGGAATAAAGATAATCTGCTGCCTACCTGGGTGCTGCAGACAGGCAGAAAGCCTCAAGTGGCAAAAGCCTCATCTTGCACATTGCACCTAAAAATGAGTGGCAGTGAGTGGGCAGTGAGGCCGAGGTCATCAGAAACATCATTAGGCTCTACAAAGAGCCTCAGCAGCCTCAGCGCAGAGACATGTCTGACATGCATGCTGGCTGCAAATGACATAGGACCTCACGGCCCCTAGGTCATATCTACATACAAAAGACATCACTGTAGGAACTGTCATTATCTAAACACAATGAGCAGGACACAGGTATTTTTTTCAAGCACATATTATTCTTTTGGAGGGTTTGGCATGTAGAATATGGAGATGGAAGACAGTACCCTGAGGTCTCTTCCTGACCATGGCCTTGTATAAGTCCTCTGCCATCTGTCCAGATGTTTCCCCCTTTATAAACATGAAAAATTGCTACCAAAAGCTTCCCAGTCATTTTGAGACCAGTGCTAAATCTTAACATTGATTCTAAAAATAGCCATAATTTATGAATCATAAAATCCCCAAATTTATTTTTATTTCTTTAATATAAAACCAGTATTAAGGATTTTAACTATTTCATTTTTCAGCCTAAATTTCTTTTAAACTAATAGTTTAATCTCTAATTGCATTTGTGTAATCCATTTCAAACTCCCCTACACCCCTCCCCCTTCCATTTCTCCTCTTTCTGCCTCCAATGAATAAACAGTACTTGAAACAGAAAAGTACCCAAGGGGCACCTGGCTGGTTTGGTCAGTAGAGCATGCAACTCTCAATCTCAGGGTCATGGTTTCAAGCCCTACATTGAGCATGAAGACTACTTAAAAAAGAAAGGAAAGAAAGGAAAGGAAAGGAAAGGAAAGGAGGAAGGAAGGAAGGAAGGAAGGAAGGAAGGAAGGAAGGAAGGAAGAAAGAGAAAGAAAGAAAGAAAGAAAGAAAGAAAGAAAGAAAGAAAGAAAGAAAGGAAGAAAGAAAAAAACTAGCCAAGAGTAGGTAAAAGAGAAACAAAAACCCTAATCATAGTTCTTGGTGAGTAAATGATATAAATACTCATATTTTGCTCTGTGATCATGTACAGGTTCATTATTTTATTCTGATATTTGTACTGAACTTGCAAGATATCAGTTGGCACCATTTATCTGACAGGAAGCAGGTCCAGGCAAGTTCCTCTATAACAAAGGTTACTTCAGTGTTACATTCAGTCATGATGATATGACAATCATGGCCATCCCCAGATAAGGGAGAACTGATTGCACTTAGATAAAAATGCTACTTCTCAAATTCTGAAGTAAAAAACTGTATACTTTGCAACTAGAGGTAAGTGCACACTAATTATGTTCTATTTGAGTTTTTCCTTCTGCTAGCTAAATCGCCATATAAAATATTGAAAACTTCGGCTGCAAAGTTGTGCAGCTAAAATTATAAGGTAGCAATTGTCCTATGAGACCCATCACTTCTAGTACCCTGTTCTTCTAGGAAAATATCCATTATTTTTGAGCTGACTCTAGAAGGCTTCCTTCTTTCTCCTTGCCCCTTCACCGGTCTAGATATTTATTGTGCACTTCTGAAAACATATTTTCTAACATCTATTTAACATTTAATTTCCTCAAATGTTTATTTATATTGTTTTCCAAATTTTCACTCAGGTCTGAAAAAAGAATTTCAGTAACTACTGGCTTGACACCACGTAAGCTATTTAAGATTTCAGATACTCAATGTCATCCTTTGCTTTTCACCACCTTCTTACATTTGAGAGAGATAAAATTAAATGAAGTTTGGGGCACCTGGGTGGCTCAGTCGGTTAAGCGGTCAACTTCGGCTCAGGTCATGATCTCACGGTCCATGGGTTCGAGCCCCGCGTCGGGCTCTGTGCTGACAGCTCAGAGCCTGGAGCCTGTTTCAGATTCTGTGTCTCCCTCTGTCTGACCCTCCCCCGTTCATGCTCTGTCTCTCTCTGTCTCAAAATAAATAAATGTTAAAAAATAAATAAATAAAAAAAAATTAAATGAAGTTTAAAATGCTATTGTTCTTTTTGGATCATGATTAAAGACAAAAACAAAACAAAACAAAAAAAAAAAAACAAAAAAACCCACCAAATAATCCAATCAAAATGGGCAGAGAACCGAAAAGACATTTTTCCAAAAAAGATATACAAATAGTCAGCAGACACATGAAAAGGTGCTACGCATCATTAGTCATCAGGGAAATGCAAATCGAAACCACAATGAGATATCACATCACACATGTCTGAAAGGCTAAAATAAAAAAGACAAGAAATAACAAATGTTGGCAAGAGTATGGAGAAGAGGGAAACCTTGTGCACTTTTGGTGAGAATGCCAACTCGTGTAGCCTCTATGGAAAAGCCAGTATGGAGTTTCCTCAAAAAATTAAAAACAGAATTACCATATGATCCAGTAATTGACTACTAAATAATTACCCAAAGAAAATGAAATACTAATTCAAAAAGATATATACACCCTTAAGTTTACTGCAGCATTATTTACAATAGCCAAGGTATGGAAGAAACCCGAGTGCCCATCCACAGATGAATGGATAAGAATGGATAAAGAAGATGTGGTATACACACACACACACACACACACACACACACACACACACAGGAATATTACTCAGCCATAAAAAAGAATGAAGTCTTGATGTTTGCAGCAATATGGATGGACCTAGACAGTATTGTGCTAAGTGAAGTCAGACAGACAAACAAAATACCAATAATTTCACTCACATGCAGAATTTAATAAAACAAATGAACAAACAAGGAAAAAAAACAAAATGAAAAAAAATAGATTCTTGAATACAGAGAACAAACCAGTAGTTGCCAGAGGGGAAGAAGGTGGACAGGATGAGTGAAATAAATAATGGGGACTAAAGAAAAATAATACCAGGGGAAGAGAGGTTAAATAAAGGAAAAGGGAGGATATAATGGTGAAATTCAAACCTTCACTGATGAAGCCAACAGAAACCAGAGCTTCCAAGAAAATCCAGGCCTGAGATTAAAGCCAAATCTTTCGTTCCTATCAACATGGAACTACTAAAGTCTGAAGTTTCTTTCTTACTCCATTTTGAAAGCAACTTTTGGCTTGCCTGGACTGTTTCTAAACAGACTGAAGTTAGAGTGTTTATTGCTCAAGCAGGGACAACTTCTATAAAGCCTAATTCAGGATAAGGACTATATTTATTTTGCCCCACATTTCTTGAACTCAAAGTGATTTTAACCTAGGATTACAGAAGTAGGAAATCTAGTGGCATCTGCTGGGACTCGTATGTCAGTTTCCTCCTTCCCTGGTCCTTTCTCCATTCTTGCACTACTCCCAGGGAGATGTCCTGGTTTAAGTGTCCCTTTCAAAATTTTACAAAAACAAGTTAATGCCCCCAAATTAAAAAAAAAAAACAACAAAACAGATAATATCCAATTAGGCAACAAAGAGAGTGATTTACCTTCATACTTTCTTAAAGGTAATACAAACTGATATAACCTTTCTGTAGAACAATTAGGTAATGCTCATGAAAGTCTTAAAAAACATGTGTTCCACTTCCAGGAATTTATTCAAGGAAAGGCAACTCTTTTCCTAGTACCAGCCTTCTTTTCTGTTATCTCTGTAGGTTAGGCTGATAGATCATCTAACTGTCCAAGGCGTGTTATGTGTTCTCACAATAGACTATAATAGACATGTATTCCTTTGGTAATCAGGTATTTAAGTATCACCAGTAAATATAACACACACAAACACACCCTGCTTAAAATACTTGTATTCCAAAGTGTTTAGTTAAATATGGCGACCACCTTTAGCAACCAGTTTCTTTTACTACTACTACTATTATTATTATGAAAAACTCAATATACATTAACAAATTTTCTAATGACCTAGGATTTAGGGGTGTAATAAAAAGCTCATGTCCACTTTTGTGGCTATTAATTTCATAAGATGACCTAAACAGAGCTTCAAACCATAACAGCAATTTCCTCTCCCTGTGTGCCCAAGAACTGTGCTTGTAGGCTTTCACAGACTTCCATTGGATATGTGAGTCAATACTAATGCGGCAGCTACAGTTCTTCCTGCCATGACATCTGGAATCCCATTATATGATGGGATGCTCTTTTCTTCCATTTTATATCAGGAGACATTATATATCTAAATTCTCCTAGATCACATGACAGTAGCCCTAGAAACAGAAAGCAAGTTTTAATAATTCTTTGGCCAAACCGCACACCTTCTCTGAATCTATTTACCATACTGTTTCAAGATGTTTTCTCAAGCATCTACAGGAGCTACATTTAAAACCTCTGGTCGGGGCGCCTGGGTGGCGCAGTCGGTTAAGCGTCCGACTTCAGCCAGGTCACGATCTCGCGGTCCGTGAGTTCGAGCCCCGCGTCAGGCTCTCGGCTGATGGCTCAGAGCCTGGAGCCTGTTTCCGATTCTGTGTCTCCCTCTCTCTCTGCCCCTTCCCCGTTCATGCTCTGTCTCTCTCTGTCCCAAAAATAAACGTTGAAAAAAAAAATTTTTTTTTTAAATAATAAAAAAAAATAAAACCTCTGGTCATTGTTTGCTAACTGCTGGGATGGTTTTAATCAGAGAGGAAGCCAATATTTTCAGCTCAGGTGTTGGAAGGGCTCCTAAAATGTCTGCAAACTGATTTAGGAGAGAGAAAATGTTTAACAGAAGCGAACTTATTCCTGCCCTAGATTAAAGAATAAACTCATTAGAACTGACATATGCTGTAACCACTGACCAAGGGAACTACATTTTTTTGAACACAGTACATCTCAAAGGCAACTGACTGAGTTTTCTAAATGTTATCAGTATCAGATTTGATAAAACCTGTTAAACAAGGGCCTCAATACACTGGTTGACAGGTTCCTTCTTTTAGAGTATTCTTGGTGTTTGGTATAACTTCTCTACAAGGATCTAATTTTTATACTAGTTTTCTTTTTTATTATTTATTTATTCTTATTTTTTTTTAATTTTTATTTATTTTTAAAGTAATCTCTACACCCACAACCCTGAGATCAAGAGTCACATGCTCTCCTGACTGAGCCAGGCAGGCACCCCTACACTAGTTTTCTTGAAGAAATTTTTGTTTTTGAAATTTTCTTGAAGAGGTTTGATTTGATGACCCAAGTAAAATCTTCTGATATAAAAGACCTTACATCAGCTCAGCAGATATTCTTCCCTTCTTACAATCTTCACTTGAGGTAAGTGAAGGGAGTCCCTTTGTGACAAGGACCATTTAGTTCTAGGTTCCAGAAAAGCCCAAGTAGCTCAGATCAAACCAGACCTCCCAGATTTGGGGAGAACTAATCCAAATGCCGGTATCAGTTCCAGGAGCATCACAGGTTTTACTAGGGTCAGTAAACCTTTTCTAGGGTAGGCAGGCTCCTCTAAGTCTTAGCTCAAGACACATGGCTTATGGTCAGCCTTGTATTTGCATGAGGAAAATGTTCTCTTCCCCTTTTTCTTTTAATTTTTTTTTTAACGTTTATTTATTTTTGAGACAGAGAGAGACAGAGCATGAATGGGGGAGGGTCAGAAACAGGGAGACACAGAATCAGAAACAGGCTCCAGGCTCTGAGCGGTCAGCACAGAGCCCGATGCGGGGCTCAAACTCACGGACCGCGAGATCATGACCTGAGCCCAAGTCAGCCGCTTAACCGACTGAGCCACCCAGGCGCCCCTCTTCCCCTTTTTCTAACTCTTACCTGATTTATTATGTATAAATTCGTAAAATCCTACCCTAGGAACAAACTACCACAGCAAGGGTTTCTAAAGTTGACTCCACTTAGGCCTACTGATTTCAAGTCTAGGGATACGGTCCTGGAAGCCTCCTTTTTGAAATGCTTTTATGATGGGGCGCCTGGCTGGCTCAGTCAGTGGGGTATGTGACTCTTGATCTCAGAGTTGTGAGTTCAAGCCCCACGGTGGGTGTAGAGATTACTTAAAATTAAAATCCTAAAAATAAATAAATAAATGCTGTTATAAACACCTGTGCATGCTGAAGTATAAGAACCTCTGCACACAGTACAGCTGTAAGAGTGAATGAAAGAGGGAAGGAAAGAAACCTCAGCAAGCAGAGACAGGCAAGATTTGAATTTGAGGATTTAATACTAATGGGGGAATAAGATTTTAAAAAACAACGACAAAACAACAACAAAACACCCCAGCTCACTGGGGAGGGATCATGAACACCTTTGCTTCAACAACTCCATCTTCAGCTAGGCTGGCTGCATCAGTGTGCTGATAGTTTCTTCTACCTCTGACAGCTTCTTTAGGACTTGATTGACCTTGACTTCATCAAATTCCAAACACAGAAATTCAGATTCCTGGAAAACACAAAAGGATGTTTTATAAAAGACCCTCAAGATAGCCAAGGCTCTGGATCTGGGCTGACCCAGTTCCAAAGGCCCAGGGCCCCCTACCTAGCAAGTCTGACTCAGGTCTCAATATCTAAATGATATATTATCCAGCAAATCAAATCCACATATTTAGTTCCCTAAATAAAACTACTTCTATTAGGTGTTTCATAAATGGTAAAGAGATATACAAATGTTAGGTGTTCTCATTATGAGGCATGTGAGAAGCTCTTCAGTCATCACGTTCGATCCCATAACAATTTTTTTAATGTTTATTTATTTTTGACAGAGACAGAGTGCAAGGAGGGGGAGGGGAAGAGAGAGAGGGAGACACAGAACTGTGGCAGGCTCCACGCTCTGAGCTGTCAGTACAGAGCCCAACACAGGGCTCAAACTCACACTAACTGCACGATCATGACCTGAGCCGAAGTCATGTTTAACCACCTGAGCCACCCTGAGCACCCGGATCCTATAACAATTTTTAAGGTAAGTACTTAAGTACTTATAAATGAGGACACTGAGGCACACAGTGGTTAAGCTGTATCACAGAATCAGAAAAGGGCAGAGTCGGACTGTGAACTCTTAGCTCTGGCTGACTCCAAAGTCCATACTGTCTCCATAGCACCCAGTAGTATAACAATAGAAGGAAGGTCTGGATTGGCTCTGTGTTAGCCTGATAATTGAGCTACTTTGGATTTAGTGGTTATACTAGCAATTATGACAAGTTGTGACCAAGTTGCTTGGGAAATATCAACCAGATCCTTTGAAGATAACCAGGTCTTGAAACAGCCTTAAACATTTCTGAGGCCTTTCCACTTGCTGCAAGCCAACTCTCCAAGATTTCCATCAAACACATTCCCGGCACACACTGTTAGGGCCAATCAACCCTAGATTAGGTAGATATCAAAGAAAAAGGCCTCTGAAGTGTGGTGACAGAAATTTCATGTACAGTGAATAAATACTTTGAACAAATTATCTCAAGCAACAGCGGCAAATTATATGTATCCAAGAGTGATTATCTTTAAGATCCTTATGAACAATAATCATATTTTGTTTTGTTTTGTTTTAATTTTGGAGAGAGAGAGAGAACACACAAGTGGAGGAGAGGGGCAGAGAGAGAGAGAGAGAGAGAGAGAGAGAGAGAGAGAGAGAATCCCAAAATGGGGCTTGATCCCACGACCTTGGGATCATGATCTGAACCTAAATCAAGAGTCAGGTGCTCAACCAACTAGGCCACCCAGATGTCTCAGAACAATAATCATATATTTTAAAGCAGTATGAATTCTCAGAGATCATATAATTCAACTACCTTGTTTTTTAGATAATGAAATTGAGGCCCCCAGCATGGTAAATGACATGTCTATTGTCCCTCTGTTGATGGAAGAGCCACCAACCAGATCAATAATCTTTTCTTTACATTTTCCTCTCTAAATACATGGTATTTCCCATCTCTATCCCCAAAGTGGAAGGTAAGAGGAAGAGCAACAAGCCTTTTCAGTAAAGCAAGTTACTCTGTCAATAGCCAGAAGAACTTTCAGGAGCTGATTTTGGGAAAGTCCCTGTGCTGTTGCTAGGCTGCTGTGTTGTTTATTCCCCCAGGAGAAACAAGTACAGAAGGAAAGAAAGGGTCTCTCAGATGAAAAGTTTCCAAAGGGAGGAAAGGCTTTCCCTGACTACAGGGAACCTTTTCCTCAAACACGTATTTGGATAGTAGAGGGGAATAGTACATGAACTTAGAAACCGTCAGGTTTAAAATTAAAAAAGAAAGAAAAAAGACACTGCCAGGTTTTCATTTAGTGGAAAGCAAAAACCAATTTAGAGAAAAGAAAGATGCTCTTTGTGTTGAGAAGCTGCAGGAAGGGTCATCTCCTTTTGAAAAGAAGAGCAAATTTATGGCAAATTAGACAATCCAGTTAGCTAAATTAAGAACTGGTCTCAGATTTGAAAGCCTTTATTCTTCATTCAGTTTTACTGAGATCTTTAGCGTGCCTTTAAAACATTTTTGAACATTTGGGCTTTGAAATAATAGTCTAGAAAGTAATATTTACCAGTCTAACATATATATTCAGGAAATTGGCAGAAGATGATGCACCCATGTTTTAACCTCATTGAAAGTCATTTACTATAATAAATTCACCTGGTTTTCTATTTATATGGGAAGAAATTATCAAGGACTTTGATCACAGAGATAGGAATACTTGAACAGAGTTCATTAATAAAAGCCAGGATCTTTTTTAATGAGGGGTCATTAATTTTTTGTAGATTTCAGTATTCAAATTATCTATGATCAGACCTCTAAACATCAGTGAAGCTGTTTATTTTTAAGGATAATCAAATACTACAGAATCTAGCAGACTAGATAAACAGAGTCCAAAGTTAAATTTTCCAACCACTCCCAATCTTCACCTCTCCCTGCTTGAAACAATACACATTAACATGTTAGAAAGACACATATAACCATTTATGACTCTTGAAGACACAGTTTATCTTAAACTATTATCAAGGCTTAGCTTCATCTAGTTATGCTATCAAAATATTTTATCAGGTATTCAAGATCTTTTAAATTGGGGCTTAATACAGGGTGCTTTGTTCAAATTTTGCATTTGGCTGGGGGTACCCTACAGAAAATACATCGAATGCACTTGAAGATATCTGTATATGCAGATATATCTGTAGATATCTGTAATGCAAATGATGCGTATCAAGCCAGAGACAGGAAGTATAAGGACAATTTGAAACATCTGATTTTTTTTAATTTTAGAAAGAAAGTATGCACAAGCAAGGAAGGGGGAGGGGAGAGAGAGGGAGGGAGAGAGAATCTTAAGCAGGCTCCATGCTCAGCGCGGAGCCCGACTCAGAGCTCAATCCCATGACCCTAGGATCACAACCTAGGCCTAAATCAAGAGTCGGTGGCTCAACTGACTGAGTCACCCAGGTGCCCCTGATTTTTTTTTTCAAGGTCATCCACCCTGACCTGGGCCCAACTGGTTATAATAATGAGAGATGGTAAGACTAAACTCCTATATTTAAGTATCTGAGTCAAGAGTTAGAACCTGCTGTGTTTCAGTAGAGTGTAGATACAGCATGTGGTGGAATCAGAAAGCAGTTAGCAGATGAATAAGCAAGCACATCATTATTAAGAATATGTAGTCTAGGGGCACTTGGATGGCTCAGTCAGCTAAGTGTCTGACTCTTGGTTTCAGCTCAGGTCATGATCTCACGGTTTGTGAGTTTGAGCCCTGCAATGGGCTCTGTGCTGGTGATGCAGAGCCTGCTTGGGATTTTCTCTCCCTCTCTCTCTCCCCCTTCCCTACTCATACTCTCTCTCTCTCTCAAAATAAATTAATTAATTAAAAAAAAAAAGAATACATAGTCTGTGATCATGGGGAGTATAGCAGTATATTAAACACCACAAGGGTTTAAATAACTGTACCAAATTAGAAAAGAAAGCAAAGGCAAAATATTCAAATATTCTCTCCAAGTGCAGAAGCTAAAAAGTTATAAAATACTAAGAGATCTAAGAGGCCACCATCTCTAAACAGAAAAACCCAACAGAAAAACCCAAGCTGCCTTTAATGACTCTGGAGAAAGACATCTTACCAGTTCCCAAGAAAGTCCTTTCCCAGGCAATAACTCTAATACTCTTCAGGAAACTCTTACTTGCCAAGCCTAGATCTTTAACGCTTTAGCTTAAACTCATTTCCTAGCAGGGTCAGAGAGTATAACTGATTATTAGTTAATATAATAATTAAAGGCTGTCATTAAGCAAGTGTTTGGTTTTCTCCATCTACACACTAAAACTTCTTCGTGTATAATGTCTATTTAAATAATTTCAATATCTATCAATAATAGCCAAACTATGGAAAGAGCTCAAATACCCATCGACTGAAGGATGGATAAAGAAGATGTGGTTGTGGTATATATATATATACACATATACACACAATGGAATGTTACTCAGTGATCAAAAAGAATTACATCTTGCCATTTGCAATGATGTGGATGGAACTAGAGTGTATTATGCTAAATGAAATAAGTCAGTCATAGAAAGACAAATACCTTACGATTTCACTCATATGTAGAATTTAAGAAACAAAACAGATGAACATATGGTAAGGGGAAAAAAAGAGAGATGGAAACAAACTATAAGAGACTCTTTTTTTAAAGTTTATTTATTTATTTTGAGAGAGAGAGAAAGAGAGCAGGGGAGGGGCAGAGAGAGGGAGAGAGAGAATCCCAAGCAGGTTCCACATTGTCAGTGCAGAGCTGGATGCAGGGCTGGAACTCACAAACTACAGATCCGAAACTGGAACTCACAAACACCTGATCCGAAATCAAGAGTCAGATGCTTAACTGACTGAGTCACCCAGGTGCCCTAAACAATAAGAGACCCTTAATGATAGAGAACAAACTGAGGGTTCATGGAAGGAAGCAGGTGGGGGATGGGCTAAATGGGTGATGGGTATTAAGGAGGGCACTTGGGGCACCTGGGTGCTCAGTCAATTGAGCATCCAACTTCAACTCAGGCCATGATCTCGCGGTTTGTGAGTTCAAGCTCCAAATCAGGCACTCCACTGTCAGCAAAGAGCCTGCTTCAGATCTTCCACCTCCCTCCTTCTCTGCCTCTCCCTGACAAAAATAAACATTTAAAAAAAAAACAATAAATAAAAATAAGGAGAAAATTGCTTAAAAAAAAAAAACAGCACTTGTGATGATGAACATTGGGTGTTACTATATGTAAGTGATGAATTACTAAATTCTACTGCTGAAACCAATATTACACTCTACATTAACTAACTAGAATTTAAATAAAAATTTGAAAAAGAAAAAAATGACTTCAATATCTAGGCCCATAAGCATACCCTGAGAAATTCTTTGGCACAACAATACAACAGTGATAAATGCTAAAATAAAAAATAGAGGCACCTGGGTGGCTCAGTCGGTTAAGTGTCCAACTTCAGCTTAGGTCA